GCGGTTCTTCTAGCCCTGTGCGTGTGCGGCGGTACCCGACGGCAGAGTGCTCGCGAAAAGGTGAAGCTCCAGAGCAGCACCAGTTTCGGTGACCAGGAGAAGAAGCTTCTCGACCTGTCCGTCACCACCACCACCACCCCTGGGAACAGCAACGATCGGGCTAGTGGGCACGGGAGTATAGTGGAAGCGTGCAGCACGGGTGATCTCGAACTGGCCGAAAGGGGATCCATTTGCGACCCTATGAGCGCCGCCACCGTCACAGTGGAGAGGCTGCATCCAGAGATGAGCGGCGGCCCGGTGAACGCCATGAGAACCGTGCCGTGCGTGTTCCCGCCCCCGCCGCCAGAGTTCACCAGCGGCGTTCTACCGCCCGGTATATTCGGGAACATATTCATCTCCGTGGCGGTGCCGCAAGATGCCTCTGATCGTTGCTATCCTGACCTTTTGGACATTCCAGTTCACGCCACTGGCGGCGTGGTGAACAAAACGGCCCTCCCCCCGGCGACCAGCGTTTCCAGTTTCGCCACTCTGCCGCGACGAGCGCTGCGCTCCAGCGACCTCTGCTCGCCTTACGACAATATGGGGCCCCGCGTCACGGCCAACGGCAGCTCCGCGTTCTCGCTCACGGACGTGGACCTGAGATTATCACCGCCCCCGCCACCGCGAATCATTCAACCGCCTCACGAGTTCGTGTCTCTGTAAGGGATTTCTGGAATGGAAATAGTCGGTATACTTGTTCAAAAGCTCGTCCGTCGCTTCTTCCCCTCCCCACCTCCTTAAACGTACACAACAACCGTCAGTCGCGTGTGTCCTCTTCTCTCCCTCCCCTTCTCTTCCCTCGATCTTGTTCGTTGTGTTCGTCGTTGATAGTACTTCGCACTGTATTCGCATTTTATACAGTGAGCCGTGTGCCTACCAGGTGAAAAGAAACACTGGCGAGTGATGTTGTTTCAGGATATACAGGAATTGTATAATCCGGAAAGGTAAAAAAAGTGTTTGCAATTTTTTACTGGTTGGCTTGTTCATAGAACTCGTAGTTTGATTTTTATCGCCTGTGATATTCATCATTCAGTGTTACTTTATATTCCTTTTTCTTCTTCTATTCATTTTTTTTTTCGAGGTAATTTCTCGATTCAAGAAGAATGTTTATGATAGAGTAAACATGGAAGACCAATAATCCCGTTGCCAAATGTAAGTTAAGGTAAAAAATAGGAGGAACACTTTTGTATATCTTGTACTTATATACCGTGAGAGTGCTGTAATATACTATATGTACTTAACAATTGTTAATCGTCACTTGGTAAGCGAATGGCTCACGTTTTTAAATCATCCGAAATCAAATCCTCGAGCGTACATTGATTAAGGTTGTATACATACAGGGACCTAGAAAGTTTGTATCTCATTGATATATTTAAAAAGACGTCCGGAGGTTATCGAAAATAGTTATGTCTGTCCAACAACTTATTCGATTACATAAGACGTCGAGTCTCGAAACTGCACGTTTCTTTTCTTTCTTTCTTTTAAGAGATGTTGCCGACACTAGCGCCAAAGATCGACGTCCGCTATTTGGAATTATCGACGAAACGAATATTTTTCACGAATCGAAACAATTTTGTAGATAGCTCAGAACAGATTAATTCGTTTGCTCAAGTATCAGAAACGAAAAGTGTCAGAAAGTTGAAGCAATTTCTGACGTTAGAATTCATAAGATTTGTGACTTTTTATAACAAACGTAACATATGTACAGTCGATCCAATATTTTTTGATGTTGATGTCGTTTTAGAAGCTCGCTGTGCAATAATTTTAAGAATGTCATTCAGCAGTATATTCATATATTAATGGTTTCGGTTGAATGAGCAGCAATTATAGCCTAGTTCCAATAGAGTATTGCGGTTATTTACTTTTCATTTAGTTCTTTAATTAATCTTCGTTAATTGATTTCCTATTCTGAAAATGTTTAATTTATACGTAAATTAGTTTTCTTTGCGTATGGCGTTAATATATGTTATATCTAACTAACGTCTTCCCTTATTATTCCAATATTTTAAATATTTTTTGCCTTTATTTTAAGTATAAAAGTAAGATTTTCTCGTTATAATTTTAAAGCTATGAAATATTTGCTATAAAAAAATACTTCATTGAAGAGATGATAAAATTCTCTTAATATGTTCCCTACTTTTTCAACCTTCTTCTAATTTTACTTTTTATCTTTCTGTTTTTCTTAATTTTAATTTCTATTATTTGCTCATGAAACCCAATCTTCTTCCAATTTCTAAATGTACAAACCTTCGCATAATATATTCACCATTTAATTATTCTTTAGATTTTTCAACACTCTTAATTTACAATTTCCAAAATTTTATCTCAAAATCCAAACCCAATTCCTCGTCGAATTTTCACATCCACTGAATCATTGTTTTAAATAGAGATTCTATCTACCAATCTAATCTTTACAATGGAATCAAGTTTTCTTATCTAATTTTTAAATTTTATTCAAACTTCTTTTTAAATATTTTTTAATTCCAATCTTCAAAACTGTCTAACAAAAGTCATCTTCTCAATTTTCAAATTTCATAAAATCATCGTCAACGTTCCTCGTAATGATGATGCAAACAAGTGGACACGTGCAGTTTCTAAGACGAGCCCCCTCGTGTCTGTATGTTCGCTTGTCTAACTGGCTTGCATGCTTGGTCGGCGTACAATGGCTGCTCGTACAATGACGAGTGCGTGTGTGATCGTTTTAGAACATAAGTCTCTCCTAGTTGCCAATATCCACGAATTCTGGTGGTTTGTAAATAATGATTAATAAAAATCACAAAACGAAATGATAAAAATGGACGGAAAAGAAAGGGACAAAAATAGAAGAAGATAAGGAAGAACGAGGAGGGATATCCTCATGGCGGATGCAGAAGTAATGTTATCTCCCCTAATCATTCTCGAGGTGTATCACTAGTTTGTTACGTACTCTACGTGTGCATGGTTGGTGGTACCGATATGGCGAGATCGTGAGAAATCGGTCACCGTTAAATCTCACGTCTTTCGAGCAATTTCGAAATATACAAGGGAAGATTAAAAGTTGGAATCTTTAGAGCTGTGCGATATCGAATTTTGTTTCTTTTTTTTTAGAAAAGAAATTTTATTGTTATATATATATATAATTTTCATTTATAAAATTTGATATGATACATAATTTGGAAGATATATTATTTCTTTCATTTAAAGACATCATATACAATAATTGGATCGTAAGTTTAATAATTTATATTAGAATATGTTTAATCGTTAAAAAGTATAAAATATGTAACACGATAAGATATTACTTTTTTAATTGCAATTCAAACTAATTTAAGTTTCAAATAAACAATTTCATTGGCAAATATATATTTATCCTATTAAAAATATTTTAAAATCAAGAAATTTAATTCGAATCCTTGAATTATCGAATTTTATTAGGTATTAATTAAATTATCAAATGAATTTTCAAATGTTAAATTTATCATACTTTTTTAGATATCCGTGCAGCCCTGGATATATGATCACATCATTAAGTATCATCATCATGTAATGTTTTTATTTGCGATTTCATCATTTCGATTCCGCCAACTGTACATATTTGTTATCGCAGTACACGTATTTAATAGCGTGGCCGACGCGTGCCGCGTCGCCGCCCATTATGAACACTTTGTCAATTAAATAAAACGATTGAATTTTACACATCATCGAATTATTGTTCTGACTTTTATTCCAGCGAACGATCGAAAATCCGATCGATTCGGAAAGATCTTATAGGGGATGCTGGGGAGGAGGTGGGGGGATGAAGAAGATTATAAACAAAGGCGCAGGGCGAGGATCAATGTTCAAATGGTGTGTAAATTCGCGAGGAGAAATAAAATTTGAAAACTTAGTCTGGTAATTGACGATGACTGATTTTTGAGAAGTTGTGAATTCCTTTTTGAATGTTAAGAGATTTTGAATTTTCTTTTTTTTGCGTCATTAAACTTTGGAAATGTTTCAAAATAAAGTAATTTTTATTTTGTTACTTTGTTAAATATAAAAATTTATGGGATTGAGAAAAAATATTTTTTCAAGGTAAAAATTTTATCACGTTATTATGGAGATATAATTTCGTATTCAAATGACAATAGAGCAAATGATCAAAATAGGAATATTTGAAATATTTCAAATTGTCGGAATTAAAAGTAAGTATTTTTTTTTTATATTTAAAATTTTACATTTTATACATTGGAATTAAAATATTTATTAAAAATGCTAAATTTAAGATATTAATGTATTTCTTTTAAAGATGTATAATTAACTTGTTTACTAAATTGTGTGATTTATTTTAAAGAACATTTATTCAAAATTCTATTAATTTATGTAAATAGAATATTCATTTAAATTTTAATTATCTCTTAGAAATTCGTACAAATTATCAAACAATATTTATTCAGAATTCTAAATTCATTTTCAAGAATAATGTTCTTTTTTTACTCCTTTAAAGTACATCTAGAAACTCCTTGAATAATGAAAATATCTATTAACGCAAAGTCCATTCGTATCATAAGAATATTCAGGAGATTAAATGCAAATTGGCAAATCGACAAGGCTGATTATAATCATTCACTTGTATCCATATAAATTAGAACTTTGAACTTTGAATGTAAATAACATGTACATTGTTTATTAAATCGATCCATTCTGTTAATTATACGTAATATCTTGAATTGTATCAGTGAATACAATTCGATTCGAATAGAGATGGAGATAAACATTTACAAATACTTGCTCAAGGAATAATATCGCAGAGGATGAATCCTATTTATTCTAATTCTTGAATATACAAAGGATG